CTTTAGTCAAAACTATTTTTCGGGATTTACCCGAATTTCACGCCTGAGATTTAGGAAATTCCATCGATTCGCTAGGTTTTTTTTGCCGAAGTACTTTAGGTACTTTGAAAATTCAAAGCATCTCCACCCCTTAAAATCTAAGCTCGCCCGACATAAATCAATTTTCCAATGCCATGCATCAAATTACAATAATTTCGTGGTCGCAAATTCCAACTTCTTGAAGCAATTAACGAAATCAATAATCTGTCTATCTCTATACTATCTCCGTTTTTTTTTGGAAGCTCAATTTTCATATAAATAATATAAAAATACATTCAGTTTACTGTCTTTACTTTTTTCAACGGCGTCCCTTTCCCAGTTCATAAAGTTTTAATAACCCAAATCAGATTCTTTATATTACCTCAGTCTAATTAACAAGGCGACCAAATCGTACACACTATATATACTACATTCTCAACCATACGAACAATATTTTGTCGCTGAGCACCTGGTTCTTTACTCCGTCTAAAATGATTTGAAGTGGAACATTAAGCTTTGTACTCAATTCTTTTAATATCTACGTTACAGTCTATTTATGGAATTTTAATTTTTACGTCCGAGTCCATCCATAATTTTTTTCTGGTCAGTTTCCGAAATAGATTCATTGTGATGATAAAATATTTTTTTACTTTGAAAATTCGAAAATCTGTCCGCATTTGTGCATTTTCGTTAATTTTAAACCGAAAATCCAATAAAATTGAATCGTTTTGACCTGCAAGTCCTTCCGTTTAAGCGCCATATGTAACATAAAATTTAATTAACAAACATTTTCTTCAGAATATTCGATTTTAATTTCAAAAATTAAACATTTTTATTTTATTCTACCATTTGATGTGGTCCGTGTCTCTGTATATCACAATCAATATAGTTTTATTGCTATACATAAACGTAAAGTTGTATCACTATAAAAAAAAAAACTTAAGTTTTATTTCGAATAAATGTGCGTCGTTCAATTCTTAACTATGTTTGTCCATTCACGTCATTTTCGATACTCACACATCTAGTGTATAAAATATTGTGTAAATATTGTCCACGTAATAAAGTGACCTGTAAACAAAGCCGTCCATGCAAAACGTTTACACTTGCCGATTATCTTATTTCAATTTATCTATGGAAAACAACGGAACCGATACATCAAATAGAAAAGATGAGTACAAAAGCGCGTGAATAGCTACTGGATGAAACATGCATGTGCACTAAAAACAAAGCTTCAAATTCATGTGCTATAAAAATTTGAACAAAAACTGCATGCAGCAATAGAGCGCACATTTTTTATTTTGTCAGTGCATACAGTCGCGTATATGGTGCCGCTCTTAGACAAATACATACTGTTCCTTGAACGATTAAAACTAAAGATGAAGACAATTCAATTATTGAATGAAACTAGTTTACTGCAGTTGATGGTTTCTTGCTCTATTTTTCGCTGCCAAAAGCAAGACAATAAACAGTACGGTTGGACGATTGTAATTTGGTTTGTAAAAGCACAAATGACTTCTTAAACATTATCAGCGGCAGTAGCGAACCGAATCATCATCAAATCAATTGTCGCAATTGTAAAAATGACCGTTTCAACAATGTAGATTGAATCATAATGTGTCAACGCATGGAAGAAATATTGCAATTACAAAAAGTATGAAAACAAATAATCGAATAAAATCGCTTATGCTTGCTGTGTATAAATGCCGAACAACACTCATCAGTTGTGCTATAAAATGAACATTAAATTAATCGATTTGTTCCGATGTCAATTAAGACTTTTATTAGTTCAAACTTTCCATGGGAAAATTGTGTATGAAGCCATTTTAATAATTCAGTTTGCCAATGTAAAATAAAAGTTTGAACGGTGATTATAGCAATTGAATGCTTATCGAACACTCTTGGCTATTCGTACTTTTTCATGCGAAGTGAGATGGGGTGTAAAAAGAGGTGTATGTGTGGAAAGGATATAATTGAAATAGAAAGAAAGTAACAGAGCGATGGTGTGGGAAAAAGAGTCAAAAGACGAATCTATTAATAATCACTTGAACATAAATCAATAAAACACAAAATACTCTTTAAAAGTGGAGTAAAGTTTCGTAAATCTTATTTCCACTGTATGCAGACATACATTGCAACACCGAACCGTTTAAAAGTTCAATTTACGTCGATGGATTAATTTGATGTGTTTTGAAAATGCGACGGATGATCTGGATGTGAATTTTATGTCTAAATAATTACTTGAAAGGATTATGTGTGCCATATCATCTCATCGTAAATTTATATTCCACGCTAGAAAATTATCTTTTGAAATAAGGGGTACCACAACGTCAGTGTCACAAAGACAGATGCATGACATCGTTTGCTTGAACTGCAATGCATATCAAAACACATACATTTGTTCGTTCATTCATTTATTCACAACACACTCAACCAAACACGCAACATTTAATTGAAACATTTTGAATTTGTGCATTTATTTTCGATAAATGAATTTCATTTAATGCCACTCTTGCAATTCTTTGAATTGGGCTTAACTTTTCAACAGTTTAAATAAGATTTGAAAAGGTTACATTCTCCTCATGTTATTTACATACTGTTAAAGCAGATACAGGCCATGCTAAGAAACGAACTCTCTAATTACACCCAGACCATATAAACGATCTCGAATGCATGGCAAATGGGCTATTGGCATATGAAAATTGTGTAAAACTCTTATAAAACATCATATAGTGTTCAACATCAGTGTATTCAATTCATTTGTACATAATAAAGCTTTAAATCAGATCCCAACGGACATATGAACATTGCGATGAAAGGTAGTTCAATTTTGCCATATCCTCTCTTTCTTTACAAGTAAAAGCCCCAAGACTTGAGATATACGAATAAAATACCAAATGGCATATGGAAGATGTGGAAGTGAAATAGCTAATAAATTCGGAAAATTTGTCAATTGAATTGTATGCATTTATTTAAATCAAGATAAATGGAATGTTGCAAATGTGTTGAATTGAAGAAATAAAAAAATGGTTTGCAACCATGCAAACCCAACATTACATGTTCGCATTTCAGTTCCGTCGATTTCGCTAGTCGATATTTATGACAATTTTCTAGCCTATATGTCGATATAATCTTTGCTCGTCATATTCTCGTTGTGTCACATATTAAATTCAATTCACTGTGCCAATCATTACTGCAATATATCATGTAATTTAATTACTGCTGTCATTCGACCGAAAATGATCTGAATGAGAAATTACTTTCGTCACAATCAAATCACCTGTACGACTGTTGGATGTGTAATTAGGGTGTTTCCCATATCTAAGTCGTTAATTTAAAGTAAAAAAAAATTCTATGTAAAGTGATGCGCCTAACACAGCGCATTGTTTACTATTAACACTTCCCGAATACTTACCGAGAACAACCTAACTCCAAGCCATCGCTTAAACTATTCACAAGACTCAGAAATAGCGGAATTATAAATATATATTTTGACAATTATTTTGATTTTGAATTGAGTGGATGCTCTTTGCTGTTCTCATCAAGGCACTCGTTCTCTTAGCGATCGTGGGACTGGATAATCGAACAAAATACACAATCCTTTGATCATAATGTATTTGGCAGCAACAATGTCAAAATCAAACATTTGATTCCAGTACAATTCCTTATGTTGCATGAACTCTTTGAATGTAATTTGGGTGCCATCATCATTGCCACAAAATCTTGTACAAAATATCACTGTCAAAAACAACATTCTTTCGTGTGAAATGACAAATCGGTATGATGGCTAAGTGCTGTCTTGGTTTTGGCTGCTTTGGCTGCTGTTTTTTGGTCGTGGTGCCGGTGGCTGTGGATTTTGTTGTTGTTGATGTTGATCTTGTTGTTCTTTTTGACGCTCAGCTCTTTTTTCAATGTTTGTGTTGTACTCATCGATTTCGCGTTGCATTGCAATCCAAACTTGAATCGATTTGAACCAATTTCCGAACTTACCAATAGCTTTACTGATGGCATGATTGATATCCTCTTCTTCGAAGAAAACAATGATCAGCTATTTGTTGTTTTCGTACACTTTGATCATTGAATACTCTCGATGCCGTTTCTTTGCGTGCATCCACAAATTATTCTTCAAATTAGTTACGTACTGGTCGATCAGCTTTCGTAATGTTTCCAAAATGACTGTTCTGTGGCCAATCGAATGAATGCTCTTTACTTAAACTGTGCACAAAGTGTTTGAATTCGGGATCGAGTTTGTATTTCTTTCTTCTTTCTTCAAAAGCATGAAACAAATACAAAATACGCCGACACATTCAAATTATATGTTTGAATAAGAGAGTTGTACGGACTCACAGTTTGTGTATGTGTAAATACTAACGAGCAAACGAAACGTAATGATTATTTACCTATCGCGATTTATGTGTTGTATGGACTGCTTGTGTGTTAATATTGGTTCAAATCATATACAGACTTCACTGGCCAAAAAATTGCTTACACAGAATTTCAAACTGTAATCAACTACTTTTTCAGATATGTTACATTTACATGCGTTTCATAATTCGTTTTCGCTTCGGGAAGTGCCACTATCAATCGCTTCGTTATATGAATGCCATTAAATAATATAGAATTCTGTGTTCTTTGAATTCAAAATTACCATTTTCTCATTTGAAGATATGGGAAACACCCTAAGTGTATACATAAAATATAGTGAAAATGCAAACGAAACACGTTTCAACTAAAACCACGCGTATATGATATAAACGCTCCAATCACATTGAACCGATTTCTATCTGTATCTCGAGAGAAAAAAAAACCATTTCAATTTAAATCCTCATTCAATTTTATGTGAAACCATTTTATTTCTTTCCTCTATATAGTGCAAAAACTAATATAATTTACATTTGAACATCGTCGCATCGAAGCGGAAATTAATTGTATATGTATTTTTAAACTTCTTTTTATTTTCATGTCATATCGTGTCATCTCGGCAGCTAAACTGGATGGTGTGAAAACATATATGCGAATGAGACGTGTGCCTAATCATCTTCAAGTGAAAGTGATAAAATGGTTTGATTACCTATGGCTATCACAGAAATGTTCGGACGAGGAACGAGCTGTATCGTGTCTTCCTGATAAATTAAAGGTAAATATTATGTATTCTTACAAATGTAATACATGAACATTCCTGTAAAAATATCATCGTACATATTTTTGTGAGCGAAGAAAAAAAAAGCAAGCTGAAATAACTCGAATCGTATATATGGTATTGCACAGCAATAGTGGCGGTCGTTTAAATGCCCTGCAACGATTATTGAAACATGGAAATAGGCGTTTTGCATCATTTATACTCTGGACGGTACGAAATTCAAAAAGGAATATTTGAGAGCCAACCCGGAAAATGAAACGGTGGTAAAATATAGATAAAATCATAAAATCGGAAGAGTTGACATTTAACAAGATTTTTGCTCAACGTATAAACGAAATTACTGCAAAAAAAAAAAAGATAGAGAAGGGATTGGAAGAGTGAAAGAGAAAGAAATATGTTGAATCGGTAGCTCAGCAATTTTCTTCAATCATCTTCATCACATGAAATAGTTTTACTAAAAGATATTGAGCATACAGCATTTTGGACCGCATGCAATGACGTTTTTCCATGTACAAACGAGAAATGAGTTGGAAGCGGAAATCGACTTTTAGCTATCTCCAACAATCTTATGTATGAAACGGTATGAACAAAAATTCGAAAAGCGAGACAGAAAGAGAGAGAGAAAGCACGATAACTGTTATTCTGTTATGCTTAAAGGCTTCAGCAAATAATTTGATCGAATCGCTTGCATTTATATATTATATATCGTATACACACACACACAAATAGTTTCATCTCGCAATTCAACGTTTCATCTCTATTTCGCAAATTCGGCCACAATTAATATTATCATTTTTTTTCTGCTTGCTGGCTTTTTTTCTAAAAAAAATGCTACATCGATTCCAGCAGGATTGACAGAGAATAAAAAGTATATTCATTGTTCATTGTCATTCTGAGTTTTTGTTGTAATATTCTCTTTTGGTCTTCTATTCTCATTGCCATTACAAATGTTGATAACACATAACTGACATTCAAATCGTGGGCATTTATTTTACTCCAACAATAGATATATATTATTGTCATGCACATTTTTTTTCGGTTGTATACAATGTCGTATATTATTATTATTATTCAACCACAATGTGCTGTATCACATGCTTTGTGAATCTGTGTATAACAACTTCATTTTGTAATATATCGCCATGAATATTTCATCTTTATTTTCATGTTAATGTTTCTTGTCATAATCGTTTCAACGAATTTATGTTATACATATAAATTCACCATCCACTTGAATGATGAAATTATTATTAAGAACTCTCGCGAATTTTAAGTTTGAACAATTATAAAAAATCGATTTTAAATAAAATGCTGTGTGCAATAAAATATCAGTAATTTGCTTGTGTCGTTAAGACAAATCTTGAATCTGAAATGGCACAGATATTAAAAAGAAATTGTATTGAATGTTTAACGCATGATAGAACGTCGACATCGAACAGGTTTCATTTCATACATTTATGATTCATAAATTGTATTCATTTTTCTTGGAAAATTGCAACTCTCTATACATAAATTTCTTTGCGTGCATTTCAATTTATTAAATCAATAATATTGTAGCTGAATGGAAAATGTTTCAAGTAACTCAAATAAATGGCAAGTAGTTTTCGGAAGCACGTAATGCGAATGTTTCTTATTTTGTTTGTTGTTGTTTTCGAAAATTGCTGAAAACATACCGACGAAGAAAATATTTCTACTGAATGAAACTATTTAGTTGTGAACTTGAAACGACGATGCGAAAGTATTTAAAGGGACCTGGTGGCACGTGCCAAAGTCGTTGAGCGAAAAATTCTTGTTACATTTGGAAAATTGAAGTAATAAAGGTGAAAAACATTGAGTCATTTTTCGACTTGAAAGTCGAACACAAATAAAACACACTGCGTCAGAATGCCGGAAATGTACGAGGAAAAACAAAACGAAAACGAAATTATTTTATGTTTTCAAAAGTGCTTTTGAATTCCCACAACTACACATCGTACACAAAAGCATATAAACATGCGTAAAACAGAGTTTCTGTTCTGTGCTTTTGAACTTGAACCCGGACGCTTTAGCAACTTTTGTCTTTGTTCTTCAAAACTCAAAAACTTCGGCAGCACATAAATAGAATCTTGTTTCCTTTTTCTCCGTATTTTCAAACCAAACATTTTGACCTTTGCATAATAATTTTTGTTTGTTTTCATTTCGTCACATAAAATACTAACAAGCTTTATGAATGATATATTGAAGTGTCATTTTATTGGATGGTTTTTCACTTGACTTATTTCTACAATTTTCTATCTCTTTTTTTTCTCTCTCTCTCTCGTTTTATGTGCAAAGGCTGAAATAGCAATAAACGTCCACTTAGATACTTTGAAACGTGTAGAAATTTTCCAAAATACTGAAGCCGGTTTCCTATGCGAACTAGTGCTGCGATTGCGACCGGTAGTTTTTTCACCTGGTGATTTTATTTGCAGAAAAGGTAATGTATAAACATATAAATTTTATATGATATTCATTGTGATTGTGAATGGAATTTTGTTTGGTTTGTCGCTTGACAAAATATCACAAAACTACACCAAAATGACATCTAACTGAATCACTTATAAGTCGGAGCGATTCAGCTTGATCGTAAAGTCTGGGATTGTTTTAGAGAATTGAAGATTTTTCGTTTGATTTGCTATGGCTATTTTCGAAAATTTACTCAATGGCAGGGAATATTTTGCGCTGAATTTATCACACCAACTGCTTTTTTTTCTGACAGTTAGAGTTGAAAATCTACCTGACGATAGGCGTGAAGATTTTTCGGGATTTCGCGATATGTAAATTCTGTTTTTATTAGAAAATTAATTTGATTGAATATGAATTCAGCGTATAATAATTCCTGTTTGGTAGCACAATTGATGGTCCAGCACGAAATATTGACGAAATCTTTCGTCTCCGTTTTTTTTATTCATTCTATTGTTTTGTTAACGAGAATTGTAAATCGTAAACAAACACACACCTTTTTTTGACAAGTGTGAAAGCAAAACAGAGCCATTTGATGTGGCATTTCTATTTCCTATATCTATAAATTTTTCACAATGCTTTTATTTTGGTTTTTGTCTAACTCTTTTATTTTCATGAACTTCCTTCTTCTTCATACCATTGAATGGATGTCATGCTGTGTTCATCATTCAACGCACAAACCATTGGATTTTCTGATCGGATACGGATAACTAACGATGCAGGTGAAGTTGGCAAGGAAATGTATATAGTAAATCGTGGTCGATTACAAGTTGTCGCTGATAATGGTAAAACTGTGATGGCATCGCTGAAGGCAGGTTGTTATTTCGGTGAAATAAGTATACTAAATATGGGAACTCAAGCAGGTAAAGAGCTTGGTAAATATCGACAGCGCCCAGGCCAAGTATATAAAATTCATATAAAATGAGATTTTAAACTCATACACACCCTTTTCTTTCTCGTAATATTGAAATTAAATTGAAATTTATGAACAGCTCCGATAAATATGCCTGCATATCAATGATCCAACACCAACATTTTGCGACTTATTTGAATTTAATTCTTTCCACCCTTTTTCTACATATCTTCTACTTCTTCTTCTTATTATAACACTTATTACGATCCTTTTCGGTTTGAGATTTTTTTTATTATCATTTTCGCATCAATAAACCTTTTCAATATCAAATGTGTGAGTTCAAGCAATTTTTTTTTTTGAAAAAATAAATTATGCAAGTACATAGCGTCATTAGAGTATCTATTATTATGGATGATGGTAATAAAAGTCAATGCTTCTTTTTTTCCTGCATCATTTTCCAAGCGAATGTTTATCTATTTCAAACTTATATTATTAAACTACTCTCGTATAATGCTGCATCCAATACAACTATTGACTGCTCCTTCTTTTAAAAAACATAAATAAATAATCGAATCAAGGCAGATTCATTGCATTCTTTGCTTTGAACTTTCCACTCAATTATTCATTGTTAGCCGTTTCTCCTTTTTAAAATGGTTTATCAATGCTTTCAATCACATTCGTTTCGTAGACACTTTCACAATCAGACTGTTTTTTTATGTGTTAAGTTTTTTGTGTATCATCATAATGGAACAAATCTTAATTATCGATTCAGTATTCATCGAAATATGATATGTGTGTGTGTCGTCTATTAGAAAATTATATTGATATACTAGAGAGAAATTCAGGGAATGGGAGGCCATTTATCTTATTTCTTAGGTCACTTTTTTTTACTTTTCGTTCGAGTATGCATTTTTGACATACATCGATTGCAGAACAAACAATGAATTGATATTTATTAACTCGAAGCTTTCTAAAACTGAAGATCTTCTGTGACGTAGTAAAAACATAAAATCGTATACTATATTCGTTTGTAGAAAGAGGCAGTTCGAATGTCCGTTTAAATATCAACATAGAAATGCAATGACATGAATAATCCAAAAAGATTTAAGTACAGATCTGCTTTCCATTGCAATTTTGTTGGGGTTCGATACGAAAACTCTATCTCTTTCGATTAAAATTTTCATTATTAATTATTATTAATTGTTTGTTTGTGCCGCCTTCGCATTTCTTCAAAGGGTATTCTTTGAATTGATTTTGTTTTGAGAGAGGTTGTTACATACAATCGCCGACATCTGAATAGAGATTAAATACATCGTTCTGTTTAAATTAAATTGATAAATTATAGCTAGACAGTAGAAACAAAGTATATAGCTTGAACTGAAGCTATTGTATTTTCTTCCTAGTGAAAATCTATAAACAATTCAATCATTGAACCACTCAATTGAATGGGTTTGAATCATACATGGGCAGAGGGGGTGTAAGCCCGGATAACCCCCCTCCTAAATCGTCCGAAGACCTTTTTTTGCTTTTCAAGTTTGTGAGGCATAGAAAAATCTTAAAAATTGCTAGGGTTTTTCGCAACAAAAAATTTCTTGATTTGCTAGGGTTTTTGGTTGGCTGATGGACCCCCCCTTAAATTTTTTCCGTGTCCATGTATGTGCTTTGAATTAAAGTGACCTATTAAATGATTTCATAATTTCAATTGATTTACTAATTTGACGCACACCGCTTTATGAATGCCGCATAAGCAACGCAGCTCACCCAGGATTTTCAGTAACAATGAGCTTAAAATAAAGCCACCCCGATTCTTTTATCTTTTAAAGGTATCGCTGTGATTAGAAATGATTTTAATCCAAAGCTATACAGCAATGCTGCAGATATACGGGCGCTAAGCAGCCAGTAAAAAAGCGGCCTTTCTTTTAATCTAATATCGTTGTACATTTTGGCTGAAAAAGTAAGCAAGAATTTCAAATATTTTCCATTGATAATTGCAATGCCGTTCATTATATATGTATTTAAATCTAGAATCTGAGTCTTACATTCAATCTCAATTTGGTTTTGAATTTGAATGTTAAAGTGGCGAAAATGAAAAATTCCCCCTTCAAAGACAAATAAGAAAAAAAACGAAATACCTTATCCGGATTATATTAATCCTTTGAATTTTACATTCTTTATTCAAAGAGTTATGCCCTACACCACAGTTTCGAATAACTTTCAATCTTGTGTTTGAAGTTAGCAGCTTTTGAATGGAGTGCAAACTGAAAAAGTTTAGTTAGTCTTATCGTGTTATGCTTCAGTTGTGAATATATTACATATATGATTGGGTTAGGATTAAAGTGGCCAAAAATATCGTTGAAAATAAAATGGCACCATCATTTTTTCCACCACTTTTTGAAATGATCAAATGTTGAGAATTGTATATGTTTCATTTTTATTTCCATTGAAGTTTCGGTTCACTTTGATTCCAATCGGTTCATATGACAGTCTCTAGATTTCTCTAATTTGCTGTTTTCATTTGTTTTTGCGAATATGGTGGAAATTTTGCTTTACCTTTTGGTAATATAGCCATATGGAATAACCAATCCTTTGTATCATTTTCTCTGCATAATTGTTGCCATTTCAATGGCATATTCACTCCGTCATTTTGTTTTGTCTTTTGCATTTTCTCTCTATTATTTCTCGCACTCTATTTCTATTCTTCAATTTTATTTGCTCGCATGCAAATGCACCCAACTTTACTTATAGTGTCACATGCCAAGTTTATATAATTTATAACACGCATATATAGAATAAAATATAAAGACATCAAAACAAAAGTATGGTAGACATGCATAGATAGACATAAATTATTATACACAGGGTGGCGCATATAATCGGGGTTTCCAGGGGGTGGGAATTTTGAAAAAACCTTTGTGTGGTATGTTGGGGTAAAAAATGGAAAATTTCTATCTGAGCAGAATTTTGAATTTTTCCACAGGGGTGGGGATGCCCTAAATATTGTTGCCCCTCCAAGTCGTGTGGGGATCCCCCCACCCCTTAAGGAGGCCGGGGGGTCAAAAAACCCCAAGGTGTGATTTTTTTTTACATGAAACCCATAAATTCGGAATCAGCATGCAAAATTACCTTAGAATTGATATTTTTTTCATTCATCTTTTTGGCCAAGTTTCAGTGCCCCAAAATTTGAGGCACCCTCACCCTCCTGGGGAAAAATTCAAAATTCTGCTCAGATAGAAATTCTCTATTTTTTACCTCCAAAGAGTAAAGGGTTTTTCAAAATTAACCACCCTCCCCTGGAAACCCCGATTATATGCGCCACCCTGTATACAATATGTGTATGTCTAACTGAGAATGAAAATAACCGAACAAATAACATGTAATGCTGTTGCCCACAGAAATGTCTGTAAGCATGAGCAGGTGATGAGATACTTCAAGTCATTTTCATTCTCAGCTACATATATGTAATTTAGTGTGGAATAAAAGCTGTATATGGACAACACAACCCCCTTGTGCTAACTTTTACTCGAAAAACTTTGTAATAATATCTACACATATTGAAACTTACAGATATACACAAACACACATACATGAATGGACGAGCACGTATCGACCAATAAACAGTTACACTTTTTAACCATTTTTTTGCCACATGGTATTTTAAACATTTGGTTTATTTGTTTTTTTTGGAGTAAATTTAGCATAGGAATGAATAATGTCGATAAAGTATGAAAATAAACTGCTGCAGTGTTGAGAGAAAGTTTATGTTTGTGTGTGTGTCTGTGAAACAATCTAGATTTTGAAATAATATAATGAAGAGCAAAAGGGAATAAAAAGGTCACATAACTGTCGTCCCTGTCAACACTAATTTAAAATCATCCAAATCCGTTGCATTGCACCATCAAAAAAGCCAATGCACACGCACATATGTCATGGTAGCTTAGAGAAACGAGCAGGTTGAGTGAATTGTGCAAGCATATTGGCCAACGTCGGCGTATATTTTGTTGTTATTTTTTTGTCGATTGTCCTCTTCATACACAAGAACACACACACACATACACATACACACAAAGCGAACAAAAATTAAATAAATAATGCGATAAAGTCGTATGGTGCAGCATCAATAATAACACCCAGACCCAGAAGAACTGAAATGTAGAAGTGCAACTCAATAATAAAAGCTTGAATATAAACCTATAACAATAACAAAAACAAAATCCTATGTATAAACAAACACATTGCGAAATGGCATCACAACAGCAAATAGGAAAACACTTAAGCGAATTTTGAATGGGAATTCAAGCCTCATAAATTTACAAACGAGAAAAAAAAAACAGAAAAAAGAATCGAATAAAATATCAACTATATGTATGGGAAGAAAATATGCACATCCATATCTTTTTACATTCAAAAAAACAACAAAATATTTGCGATACAGTTCAGAGAGTGCACGTCGTAAATGATGCTCGTATAAATGCACTTGCACAAAAGGTCCGCATAAATAATTGTCTTGTTGTTTGTATACATACATGAAAGTTTGTTGCTTATTGGTGCTAATAAGTAACCAACAACATGCTATATACGGGCCCTTAACTTCATTTTGCGGATTTCCACTGTTGCTGTCGTCTCCTTCTCTCTTTTTCTCTCCATTCATTCGCCACATTTCATATATAATAACAATAATTTAAAAGTCTTTCATCATTTTTCCAGGGTTTTTATTCCATTAGACTTTATGCCGTTAGATCATTTCATCAGAATTTCAATTTTATCTCTGGTCGTGGTTTTGTTTACATTTTTCTCTTGGTTTCAAAAGATGTTTGTCATTTATGCTTCTGTATTAATTATTGGTCGACACATTGTACAAAAACAAAGGAATTTTTAAATACCAATTAGTCGTTATGTATACCGGCTTTTTGAACAATTTGAGCGCATAAAGGCTATTTAGCATTACATAAAGCAAAAAAAAAAATGATGAAAACAACGTATAACAAAAACCATTTGATGTAATTGTGTGCAATGATTACCATTTTAAAATGATGCAAAACCGTATTTCTGTCTCTTATACCTTTTTGCATGCCATTGCTTAACAAATCGAAAAGAGAAAACATTTGAGGGTCGTATGAATTGTAATGAATCTTTTGGAAATATTATTCATCATGTCCTTTCGCCTAGTTACATTTAAATGGTTGAATATCAGCACAATCATTGTAGTCGAATTGATGACTGATACAAAATCATTCATATTGAAAGTTACGTCCGTAATGCTGCACATTTCAACTCCAATCGATTCAAGTAAAGTCATCATTGGTAGCTATTTGACGACATACCATTCAAATTATTTGCACACTCACAATGATTTGCATTGCATTTATGAAGCAACCTTTTTTTATCGCTGAAAAGCACACATACACACATCAAACTGAAATATTTTTGGCTGGCCAAAATTTCTCATTTGGCTGTGCTCAGCTGCTAATTTGTATGAGAGTGAATAAGAGCAGATGAGTTGAAAAAATTTTGAAATCCCTCAAAATCAACGATAAAGGAATCGCTTCAACAATTTCTTCGTTCATTAATAGATATTAATTGGCTTGACCAGATGGTATATATTTCGGCTGACTCAAATTATCTAAGTACAATGCTTGTTTGCAAACGGCATCCTGCGAGCAAATTTGTATAACCAATTCGTGAAAATAGTTTTTGCTTCCATATTATATAAGACCAAACATATATTTTAAATTAAATAATATTTACAAAACGGTTCATTCTTTGTGATTTTTTAAAACAAGATTATGCTGCCCGAAGAAATCCAACAATATGTACTGCTTTTATTCGTCGTTCTCTCTCTATCTCGCTCTATTTATCTCTAAATAGTTTAAAAAAACATGCTTTTCCTGCAGAAAATAATATTAAAAAAAATATATACTTTTTCCATTGTGTTTTAAAATGCAAACGTACAGCGTACACACATGAAAGAAAGCGTTGTTTTCCGTTGAGAAATATATTCCTTCGTTACATTTCTGTTCCATTTAAATTTCGATTTGGTTTTATTTAGGTTTTTTTTGGTTTAATTTTTCTACAAAGTTAAACTTTTGAATCGAATCTGTCAAAAACACATTAACACAAAACATACAACCGAACACCCATTACACTTAACTATGTATTTTTCGTCGTGTTTTTTTTTTGTGTTGAAAAAAAAAGTTTTAGCATTTTCCTGGCTCTGGTCTAATTGCCATTTTAAAACTGTATGTGTCTACCCTACCTTTCGGTAGTTAATTGAAAGAGATTTATACAATTTACATAGACTAGCATAATAATTTATTCTCTCAATTCTGCCATTTTATATTGCTTTGCCTGGTGCCGTATCCTTATTTACCGTCTTTCCATTTAATTATCACGTATTTATATTTAAAAAAAACTGACTTTTTCTATGAACAAATTTTACCATTTCTACATAATTTATATTATTATATACATAGTATTTTTTCTACTTTGTCTTATTTTCGTGCCGTTTGATTTTAATTAGTGCAAATATTCCAAATTGACACTTGGCATCCATTCAGATACGCAATTGGTCGCAAATAAATGTTCAAACATATTTGTTGGCCATTCATTTTGCATTGATGCCAATTGGCTGATGTGATGTGTAATTAGTTTTCGAAAATCTTTCTTAGCCTTAGAATACATCCGTTCGGAAAATTGAAAAGGCTTCTCAGCACAAAACTATTTTTGAAAACCAATTTACTCATATCGTGAATGAAAAAAGTTTTCTTTTTTTTTTCTGCATCAATTATATATTTCTTCCTTCATTCATCTTACACACAAAAACATTCCAATATTTTTTTGGATTTCCAATTTTTGTTGTTGATTTTTTCACTTTAAACCCATAGCAAATACCATCGTCAAATGTTTATTGAAAATTATTATTTTGTGAGTGGGATTTCTCACTCTATGTTTGGTTTTTTTCTGCATCGACAGAAGTTTAAGGAGTGAAAGAAAAAACAATCCCTTATATGCCGTTACAATTTTGAACAAGAAAATAATAATTTCGACGATAGTATTTTCTGGGTTTTCGTTTAAAATTGGAAACTTTTTTTTTGTTTTGGTTTGATTTTCGTTCGTTCTTTCAATCAAATGGTAAAACACTTCAGGCACTAAATTCACCAGGAATAGAGATCCAGTTTGGCGTGAATTCATTCCAAAACAGTCAATCGTTCATTCGGCATTTATTTCAAATGCATTTGCCATTCCTGGATTTTTCCGTTTTCTTTTAAAATTATATTGTTGTTGTTGTTATTGTGTTATGCAGTGATGGCGATTGAGTGTTTTTGGAATACTGCCAAAAGAGCTATGCACCGAAATGCTTACTAAACAATTGACCGTGCACACAGAAGCAACTTTTACCATTTGATCAAATAACACATTCACATACACACACATATATATCTATATACAAACTCACACTCACTGATTTATTACGAAAAAGTAGCGTAAATTGTTTTCCTTCTTTGTCGATAAAAACCAATTCAATTAACCGAACGTTCTGTATTTTTTTCTCTTTCTCTTTCTTCCTCTCTATGTTTTTTTTTCTCTCCTCTATCCAAATATTGACGTGAATGCTTGTGGTGTTGAACCACACAAATAAACGAAAAAAATCTAACCAAATCCATCGAAACTGAACCAATTCAAATCCGAACCGAATCGAACTTCATCTATAAACCTTCTTTCTGAATCGCAGGAAATAGACGAACGGCAAGCGTTAGATCGGTGGGTTACAGTGATTTATTTGTGCTAAGCAAAAAGGACATGTGGGATGTTCTCAAAGAATATCCAGCGGCTAGAGTTCGATTAGAGGCGATTGCTGTCAAACGTCTGGAAAAATACAAAAAAGCTCCACTGGAAAAAGGTTTGTTGCTGTTGGAAATCTCACGACCCTTTTGTTGCTATATCCGATTTCGTTTCTCTCATTCTTCTTATAAGTTTTATATTTTTTGTTGTTGTTGTTGTTGTTTGGTGATTATTTCTTCTTTCTTTTGGCCGTATGTATGTCTGTCATAAGAACATTCGCTTCCGGAACATTGAACAAAATCAAAGTACTCGACGTTTTCCAAATGCGTTTGATTTGAGAATGGTTAATTGTGTGTATGTGTGTTTGAAGTCAATTTCATATGTGTTTGACTAACAACACAAATTGTGTTCGACTTTATTTTACATTACTGTTCATATCACTGGTTTTGTTATACAATGAGAATTCTCCCCAATTAATATCAGAAATGCTGACACCAATCGCACCACATTTTCCTCAAATCGATTTGTTGTTGATGTTATTGTTTTTATTTTGTTTTCAAAGTTAGTCAATTGCAAATTTGAACTTTTCTGTAAACATGTTACCGTACACGAGCACGTCATGAACAGAAGAAGAAAAATCATACAAAAGAATCACATCCACAATTGCAAATCCACATCTCTATCGTATTGTTCAATATGTAACTGCATGGTTGTTCGTCATATAACACTATATACAAGTTTTCCTTTATTTTCCCGGTGAAACAACTTTTGGTCTACCCAACTTTTGATTATACTAGGTAATATACATTGAAGCAAGCAAACAAAATGTGAATAAGTGCGTCCACAGTTGTTTTTATTTTCAATTTTTTATTCGTTTTTTTATTTATATAATCGGTTCGTTTTCACAAGCATTTATTTTTCATCAATATAATTATTATCCCTTTGCTTTCATCTCGTATAGCAATGCAATACTAATGAAATGTTCGATAATGCATTTTAATAACAAAAGAATGCATTCATATACAACTGAAATAATGTTTTATTTTTAAATAAATAATGTAGAAAAGTCTGTATTGTGTGAAACATCTAATTTGAAGTGTTCGTGTTTCTGTTTGTTTGTCTCTCTCTCTCTCTCTCTCTCTGCTTTGGCCACAGTTGCAATGGGACGTTGTCAATCAACACCTGGACTCGTTGAAACCAAAGGTCGAATATCTATCTTCGAAGATATGTGGCTAAATTCAGCTCCTCAGCCAACAATCTACAATCAACAGCCTTTGATTAGGTATTTGATTTTATCAATGAACAAAAAGTGTTTCTTTTAACCACTCTTTCTTTCCCATTCGTCGTTTCCTCTTACTATCGTTTCACTAAATAATTGTCAATCAATCTCAATGAATTCGTGTTTGAATTTTTCAGTCGTGCTCCAAGTCCTCGATCAACCAGAGGCGATCCAATTTTGGAGCGCCCCACTAAAGTTATCGATTCACCCGGCTCAATTAGTCCAAGTGTACACAGTTCTGACGAACGACCGCGTAGTCGTGCAGCATCACATCAGTTCCGACCACAATCTCAACCAAGTCGATCAGGTTCAAATAAAACAAAACAAAAAAACAATACCAAAAACCAAAAACATATCTCATATCATTTTGACAAATTTTATTTTCACACTCTCACTCTCATTTCATCTAAATACGTTTTAATTTATTCATTTGAAAATTATGTTGTTTTCTTCCTTTATTTCGTGTTGGCAAGAAAGCGGTTTCATTTTGTTTTTCTGTTGTAATAGTTGTTGTTGTTGTTGATGTTCATTTACAATTAATGAATGCTATAGATTAATGAATTGTTTTGTATATTTGTTTGTTTTTCTTTTTTTTCATTGGGTCAACTAAACTAGGACATCATCCATGCGAATCTTTAACACACTTGGAATCATCGGGAGCGACACCGTTGCTCGGTTCACACGAAGCCTTGGAAGATGAAATCAAACGTCTGCGTGAACGATTGCATACCGTTGAAAATGAAAATGTTGCATTGAATTCAAAATTATCACAACAACAATGGGAATTGGAAAATCGTTTAGCTGATATTGAAATGCAATTATGCGGCGCATCATCAGCATCAAGCATCGATCACGAAGAAATAGATGTTGAAGATGTTGAACGGAATCGTGAGAGTATCATTTAACAAAAGCTGCCCAAACAAAAACGATCATCACCACGTGTCGTTGTCATCGTTTTCGTTGCCACACTTTTCCATTGTTCATCATTCCGTTTATTTTCACGATATTATGATCGCAAAGAGAACCAACCAAATTCAAAATTTGTTCGTTTCATATTTTAAATAGAGACTATATATAAATATCAGGAACAGTTTTTTTTTCGTCAATTTGCACATATAGACATTTTTCATGCTACCTCGAATCGATTCAAACGGCATTCAGACTCGAATTTGAACACACACACACACACATTCACACACACAAATTACACTTTTTGCAAATACACTAATTGATGCTATCCAATAGTCGAACGCTTTGACTTTTCAGACTCGCATACAGAGGAGCTTTTGAAACAGTTTAGTTTCGATCATGATAAACAATCTAAAAAACCATCAAAACTAAACGTACTGAACTGGCTATTTTCGATTTTGACAACTACAGTTACAATTATTCCATTTAAAGGCAATTAGCAAATTATGACATGTAAATATTATATAAAAAAAAATCAATCCAAAATCACCATAATAAATAAATGGAATATTTCAACCAAGACAAAACACAGAAATACCGTATTGAAAAAATAAAAATAAAATAAAAACAACCAAAATCAAAATACGATTTAAAGAGTTATCAACAATTGTCAATGTTTCATCGATGTTCGACCAAAAAAATAAAAGAAAGATTCATAGAATAAAAATTGGTGTGCTTTGTGCATTCGTCGACTTCATTCGGAATAGAGGTCATATGTGTATACAGCTGGATATCTACAGAGAGCACATTGCAAAGAAAATAAATTCAAATAGTAAACAGAGCTGTGAATCTAAAATTAAATTTAAGTTGTAACCAAAAGAGAACAAAAAAATTTAATTCATTTCAAAATATTGTCAGTATAATTAAGCAAATATATAAATAGCTAAATAAATATCGGAACAAAGCAAATAACAGAAAAATCACTAAAAAAAAACATGGAAATTGAATGATTGATGTCTTGAAATGGCTAGCAAATCAATGATGCTTACAACCGTCAAGATGAAAGAAAAAGAAACTTCTTCCTTTCACTCTGATGAGTTCGAAATGTCAAACGTGAATAAGGCAAACATTGACAACAACAAACACACCACACACCATATTTGTGGAATGAAATCGGAACAAACACACTTTACTGCCACATAAACACACACACACACACATACACACGAGTCATTCGCAGAAAATAAACAATAGAAAAAACAGAATTGTTTAAACGACTCGAACTATTTAACGAAAGCTTCGCCGGAATTATAAGAAGACAAAGAAAAAACGGTCAATTTGCAAATAAATAATAACAAAAACACTGATTATAATAAAATAACAGCTTTAAAATTCATTTTTTTAAGGAAAAAGAAGACAAAAAAATAACTAACCAATTTCTAAACCTTTGTAAAGAACTATGAGTCAGTGTCAAGGTTTTTCTCCGTCGTCTTAAAGCAACGAAGGACTAATTTGAGCACGTATTGTTCGTGCGTATGACATTCCATTGCGCTACTTGCATATTGCGAATATTGATAATAACGTAGACAGAATTTTAAACAAAATTTAAAATGGTTTAGTTCTTTTTAATAATTAAAATTACGTAAATGACAAATGAACAACAAACCAAAACAAAAACTTATTTAGGAATAAAACGAATCTACGAATAATTATTTAAATAATTGAAAAGAGAAAAAAATGCAGTAAAAACATAGAATACATATTCCATTATATGAAAATCAATAAATTTTCCCTTAAACCAAAAAAATATACCATGATAAAGAAAATCATCTTTAATTATCTTCAACCGAATTATTTCTCTCATTAGACAAACGAAATAATAATAAAAAAAAGAAATAATAAAGATGTTCATCAATTTATTGAGCCATTCCTAGGGATTTATTTATCTAGTTTAGATAGAACGAATTTTCTAAAAACAAACACACATACATGACAAACGAATCGAATATATTATATAAATAATAAACATATATGTAATTTTGAATTTCTCGTTTATTTGTTTTTTTAAACGAAATATGTTGTGTGTAACCGTTTCTTTAATTTAATCGAATTTTTGCAATGTCTATTTCTCATTTTTGTCTGTTTCTGTTTTCTTTGCTTAATACATTTTTCAAACTTAGTGACTCCGCATTATGCAAGGCATATTTTATTTAATGAGCTTTTTATTTCTTGATAACCTTTTAATTCCATTTCTTCCATCACATCGCATTTTATCAAAATAAATACAAGAAAAAAAAAAAATTTCAAAAAAAAAACAAACAATTTTGATCAATTTTTTTGATATTTTAAGTAGTTTAATATGAAACAAATTTTTGATAACGATAAAAGCGGAGTTTCAATATGGCCACAATCTAGCCCTCATTGAATAAATCAATCGAAACCACTGTTAATGTAGGCATTCCGATGTGAACTTAGGCACAAAAACGGAGAAACCAATCACATGGAATATTCGTTGATGTGCTCCAAGAATTCATGTCAAGCGTAGATTATCTATGCGTTAAGTAGAGGGATGTGAAATATTAAATATTGAAACATACATATTCAGTTATTTCAAATGCTAGTAAGCGTATCGATCTGTGGATATTAGAAATTGATATTTTCAACATTGCTCAATCAAACCGGAGCCTTTCATCAAAAGCTTTCATCAAATCCGAACGAAATTCTTCTGTATGGTTTGGCACATACACTCACGAACAAAAAATACTAATAATAATAAAACAAACTAGAAATCAATCCGTTGTGAAAGGTTTCAATAAAATCTTCCGGTTTTTGACTGACGTCACAAATAGACATTTTTTGGTTTCCGTTTGCAGTTGAGATTAAGTTTTTTTTTTCTGAATTTATTGAAACACATTTTTTTGATAGAACTGTAAATATTTATTAATTGCGGTGTTCTTTCATTACTGACCATTTGGTTCCGACGAAAGTTGACAGATATTCGGAATCAATAAAATACATTCTAATATATACACAAATATTTCTTCAAAAAAATTATAATAAATACTTTTAAAAAAAAACAAGAACAAAAATATAATGATGTAACACGAGGCAATTGTTAAATTTATTATTGAGAAACTCATTCAAGTAATCATTTAAGCAATGTATGTGCTTGCCGGACTCTTAATCAAATTGAATTAACAAAGTGGTTTGTGTTAAATGTACATTAAAAATTGAGCGGTGACACCATTTCGATGGTGCTGATTAAAAAAACTTCGTTATGGATCAATAGAAGAAGACGTTTTTTTTTTCAAACTCAAAGACTAAAAAAAGCTTTGTAAAACCAAACTAATTAAAAGGATTAAAAAAAAGAAACATTTTCATAATACAACAGTTATCAGTAGAAATTTACAAAAGAAAAAAACAAACTTATTTACTTTGGTCCATTGCAATCGATGAGAAAATCTCAACTAAATTCGAAACAATCGAAAGTGAAAAAACAACTGATACACCAGTATGATGTAAATAATATATTCAAATAGAAAAAAGAAGAAGAAGATGAAAAACAAGTGCTGAATAATAGTGTTTGTGTGCTATTGTTTCGTTTGTGTATTCAATCCTTTGCATTGACACCTCTACATTTCAAAATTGGACTTCATTTCAGTTTACCTATGATTTTCACTGTTTGAAAATTCTATTATTATCACTTTTGAGAAATATGCAAAATGAATAATTTATCAAAATAACAAATCAAATTTTGTATAAAAAATATTCTAAAGATAAAAGCAATTACAACAAGTAAATTCAAACCACTACCAAAAAAGGCATCTGTTGTAAGAATTGTGTTAAAAAAAATTCAGTGCAAACGACGAAACAAATCGCCATTTATATTTGGATTCATGTTTATTCGAACTGTATGTTGAATATCAATATTGTAAGATGCATTTCAACAACATTTATTCTGAAAAAAAAAATCACCCATCTACGGTAAAAATAATGCTGAACAGCACCTCCTAGCAGATTGCAGATTTAACGCACGTTTGACTGCTAAAACGCTTGACTTCTTAGGCCAATGTTATAGATACAGTCATAAAAAGACTTATGTGCAGTCCTTCAGGTGGTTTTGTAAGACAACCTTTTTAATTAACACTGATGCCGTGACCACCGGTAATTTTTTATTTAATAATGAAAAAATTGAATTACATAAATATACAAAAATCGAAGAAAAAAACCAATTGATCGCCTAAGACATCCGAACAAAACATCATCAGTAAAATGGCATATTTTAGAATTTAGAAAGAAAAAGAAATTATCAGAGGAAAAAAAAAACAAAGTCGAACTCAATTTTCTCCAGAAAATGGCATCAAAATGTATTGATATTAGCAAGAATCAGCTAAATATGTAGAAGGACAAAGATAGAGATGGAGACATAGATAAAGAAAGAGAGAGAAAGAAATTGAAAAAATAATAAAGAAAATCAGAGTCAGCATTGAGAATCCTGAAATATTGCAACTGGGACCAAAATGATAAGTAACAGACAAGAATGATATTCATTGTCAATGAATCATTGAATATAGTCAAATGATTACAAGCTAATCCAATGAAAAATGCAGCTTTGTCATACAGATGATAATAAAATGAATGCAATAATGATAAAAAAAACACAAAATGAAAGAAACACATCGAACTTCATGATACGATCTATAGGATCACACAAAAGTATGAATTAGAAACGACGAAAATTGCTATGAAAACATGTCTGACGTATATTCTCTCTCCTTTTTCTATCGTGGGCTCTATTTCTCTATGGCTGCATTTCATTTTATTATTATGTATGCATATTTACTACTCGAAAATACAGGCATTTTAATGAGCGGAAATAACTAATAGTTCTTCGAAAAAGGGGAGGGAAACACAAAAATAAGCTCATTACATTCTGAGCTTATTTTACAAGATAACGCGTTTGACGGATCACAGCTCATAAACAACTTAAGTACGCTCTAAAGAGATCTCATCTAATTCATTGCTCAAATAAAAAAACGATTTACAATTTAAGTCTAGTTTATCTCTACACGAAAACACAAAATCACAACCATAAAAAATAAAATTAAATTAAGCTCATTTTCTAGCATCAATAAAATCTGTAAACAATACAGACTTTTTGAAATTTAATTGAAAACTCCCTTTGTCCCATTTCCCTCTCCACATTAATTGATTTTTCGTCATCATCGACCCCCCTTTTTTACATATTTCAAAATTGAATTTTCTTTTATAACCATCTTTGTACGAAAATCCAAAATAAATAAAAAAAAAACTGAAAGAAATTACGAAATGACGATTCAATGCACAAGGAAAATAACGTTTTTCATTTGTATTTGATCATCAATATCGAGCAACCTATGTAAAACTTATTATCGACAAGTTATGTTTTCAAGATAAAAAAATTAATATATCGCAACGATTGTTTTTTTTTCATTGTTTTGGATTTTTGCTCAGTTTATTACATCCATTTCAATAATAAAAAAATGCTACAAACATTTCTGACAAAATTTTTTTTATCTTCAAATACGTTTTTAAAGTAAAATTGTTATAGTTCTAAAAGAAATGGTTATCAATGCCATCTCATACATACGAAAATTGTGTGCATTCAAATTGACGATTTGAATAGATTTGTATACAGAGATAAAAAGAAAAAGATTATGTGTTACTAAAATTATCTCAATTAGTTCTTAGAAATTAATTTCACTATTATAGTTTAAAAGCGCAAAATAAAACTGGACATACGCTGACAACAAATTGAATGATGAAGATTTTCTTTTGTTTAAATAATAAAAAAGAAGGCAAGCTCAATTTTTGCATTCCGATGCGCATTAACATCATTTCTCGCTCGATATCGACAATCAATCGACACAAATTCGAAGCATCCAAGTACACTCGCATACACAACCCATCAATTCATCTCAAAATGTTTGGGGCCGTTTTCCACGTTTTGCACTTCCTTCACATTCCATTCGCATTCAAATTGAAAACGACAAAAATTTCTCAATTGAAAATCGATGACATCAACAATATATGGAATGAATTTGTACATATTAATAAAAATGAAAAACAAAAATATATTTATATGTTAAAAAAGTATATATATATACATATTTAATTAAATTCAAAAATTATTACTGATGAACAAACAAGATAAATAAATTTAAAAAAAACCAACAACAACAAAATATGATATGAAGTAAATCTAAAAAACCGCAAAATGACACGAACATAATTAAATGAGAGGATATTTGTTAATAAATTGAGTTTCCAAAATCATATTATTGTAATTTCTATGAAATATACAAATATGGGTAAAAAAATAAATAAAAAACCAAAGCATTCTATGAATTTTTTTCAAACATTCTTTTCACTTAGCGGTTGTCATCACAATTGATGCGTCCATCACGATAAATCATGCTATCCGTTTAGGTTGTATTTCACAAACGGCTCACCTTGTGGTGATCGGGCCCCTGGTCAGAAAGTATAACACACACACGGCAGGCCAGACCGCGGTAAGTTTTGTATGTTATATCGATCTTATGCTGAACTGATACATCTCTCTTGGACCATAAATGGATACAGTTGTATTCATGTATTTCCACGTTCAGAGATGCCGTCATTAATATAAATCATGACGTTGACCTTGCATTTAAAAATGGTTATGTTTTTGGAAATTGTCTCTGATTTCATTCGGTGGCAAGTTCAAAAACAATTGCAAATTTCTTCAAGACACTGATGCTACTCCAAATAAAGCGCAAATTTCGGCATTGTATGCGTATGCTTCAATGTCATTTGATGTCATCAACACGAGCTACATAGCACACATCATGTAATAACTATCATTTTGGGAGCAAATGTATGAAAAAACATGATTTTTTGTTTCGTCTTTTGACAAAAATGTAATTTTATGTAAGTGCAAATCATTTACGTGGGAACAAAATCATAATAAAATATACACGCCGGAAAGAAACGGCAATGCTACGATTCGTTTGAACTTGACGAAACTTTTTTAAGTTAAGATAGATTGACGTTTTGCTGACGCAAAAGTAAAACTTGTGATCAACATATGCATAAATATATTCGAAGTCAATTGATCGTGACAACCGATTTATAAGTTTTGATATCAGAACACTCAACAAGTGAATTCAAATGTAAGATAATTGACGACTAATAAAAATTGCAATTTTTTTTGTTTGTTTGTTGTTTTGTTCGTTCTTGATACTTAATTTGTCGTCACCACTATAGCTGACTCACTGAATATCATTATTTTCCTCTGTATTTTTTTTTACAAAAATAGTACCGTGAACGATGTCAATTTTTATTCGCCATATTACAGTCAATGTCATCGACAAATAAAGCAAATGAAAAACATACAATTTTGTAAAGCCATCTCCGTCGGTTGTTCGCTTAATAATCGTATATGCAACACGAATAGGAATTACCTTCCTCACATTCTACATTTATTATATAAAAATTACAAATTACCTTTCTCATGGAGAGAAGGTGTTTGAAAAAAAAAATGAAACTAGTGGCATATTTCGAGCGGGAGGGGAAGAAAAGCGATAGTTAAATATCGAAATGTTGTCTGCTTGAATTGCTTAAAATTTCGAATTGAATACAGATTATGAATCAATAATCTGGGATTAAATAGAATTTATAAATACGTTTACGCGTACAGCATAAACGGTGTGCTCTGTGTACACGATCGTGTTTATCTTATTTTGGTTGCGAGAGAGTGAAAAATACGGTCACAGATGTATTGTATACACCAGATCGTATTACGTCATATTACAATCACCTATATTCCAAATATCGAATGAAATACACAAATAGATGGCTTTTAAATTCACTTTTTTTATTGTGTGTCTCCATCGTCTCGCCTCTTCACTTTGATATTGTAAACTCCAATACCTGTACAAATTGTGTACGATTGACATCGCCGGGGGTTTATGTAGAAGAGTGAATAAACGAGTGCGGCACAGATATACACACACACACACGAAGAGAGAGAAAGAGAAACATACGCCTGTTGCAAAATTTCTCACACATATTTTATCTGTGAGTAAAAAAAATGCCGATGCTCAGCTATTTGCAATGCTCTATGCGAATGAGAGAAGGTAAACACAAGCACCAACATCGACCCAAAAAAACACGACAAATTTACGAACGAAACAATCCCGTAAAACGTTTAACTATTGAACATATTCATTTTTTTTTGTTTACCTTTTAATAGCGAATAACAATTTATATTCACCAAAATAATACAAAGAAAAATAATTAAAATTTCAGTGCTAGGTGCACTGTTTCTGTTTCGCGCTCTGTCTGCCTCTATCTCTCTCATTCTCTTTCTATGTACTTTACATTGTTGTTATACAATAAGCGTGCGCACAAACACAAGCACATGCAGAGAACTCGTTTTACGCCGCTTGGAATCGAGCATATTCATTTGGTTTCGGTATGTAACAACCGCGATGGTCTTTCACGCTCGCGCTCATTTAGTCGCTGTCTTGCTCGCTCACGTATTGTGGCCGCGCATTTTTTTCTCGCCTTCTTCTTTGTGTTGCTTTATTCTTTAAACATTTTGTTTCGCGTTGTTGTTATTATTATTGCTGCTGTTTGTCGTTTTTCGTGTATCGCACATCGTTATACTGTGCATATGTACCTGTATTATATGTGTTATAATCATATACATTCGCAACGACGCGCGCACATTAAGTTCCACCAACACTCACATACGCAAATACAAATGCGCGCGCTACGCGATGCCAATCGGTTAGGGCCAGTTGTTTTGTTATTCTATTGAGTTTGTTGTGTGTCTTTTTTCTTGTTGTCGCCGTTTCAGTTACCTTTCGTCAATCATACAGGTGAGATTCGGATTGGCAATTCATACAATTGCTCATCACGTTTTAATAATAATATATAGATATTTTTTTGTTGGTTTTTGGTTTTGTTTTCGGGACTTAAAAGTTGCAAAATTGATACATATCAGTTTTCGTAAAATGTACAAAAACATGTGTTGTGCTTTTTGAAAAAGAACATGAAAACGACGAAAAACACTTAAATAAATACACGGGTTTGTACGGGTGTTTTCAAGAGATTCAAATGCGCGCAACTAAATCAAATAATGAAACCACATGAAAACGTAAACAAAAACGTTCACATTAAAACACACAGTTTTATGTTATCGTCCCTCGATGAGCTACAAGTGTTCGATTTTACTCAATTTATCATTTTTCAATTTGGTATTTTAGGCATTTGTGCGTTTTTATCGAGGCCGCATTAAATTGTGATTGTGATTGATTCTCGCAAAAAAATGGTGTGTGTGTGTGTGTGTAAAAAAAACTATTCTACATTTAGATTTATGAGAGTGAGGAAGAAGCTGAAGATTGAATTTGATGATTCAGTCCCAATGGCTAACAATTGTGAAGAAATTTCTTTTTATTGTGTGTGACTGAATGATGAACGATGCTTTTGAATGTTCATTGTTTTTCAGTTGAACTCTTTAAATATAGTTTGTTTTTTTTTCCTCTCTGGATAACTTGACCAAAAGTCATTCTCTCATCATCATTATTATCATCAGCAACGGCATCGGCGGCAACAACAACACTAATAAAGGCAATTTAGCATAGCTCGTAAAAAAAAAACAATATACAAAAGAACACCGAAACGACACAGTGTGTGTGTGAGAGAGAGAGAGAAAGAAAATTGTCAAGAAAATAGTAGTCACGACGATGACTACAACGACAACAACAAACAATAACCCTAAAACAAAAGTAATTTATTTAAGCATGTGAATTGTGTCATGTTGCGCAGCCACAACTTTTATCCATTTGGAATCTTTTACCTCTGTCGGTTGATGGCTTTATCTGTGCTGAGTTCACTTTGAAAATATTAAGATATATGTTTAAATGGAGAACGCGATCTCTTGAGCCACTACACTGACAGGGAAAAGAGAGAGAAAAAGAGAGATTTGTTAATTTTATGCTTATTTTGGTTATTGTTATTGTGATGTTGCCATTATTATTACTGTTTCATTTGCAAGTTGTTTATTTAATATTGCGGTTACCACTGATTTAAAGCGCATGATTTTACCGCTTGCATTGAAAATTGATTATTCTCTCCACACAGGCAAATTAACCATTGAAACAAAACTATTTAAATGTAAGCCTGAGTGGCTGAGAATGAATGTGAAAATAGCCAATATCGGGCGGCGCGTTCCAACGCTTATGAAAATGAATTGATGAGAATTATAACTAAATTTTACTAAAGACACGAAAGAATGAGTATCTTCCGTAGAGCAATAGATCTTGTCAAACCCGTTAACCTTCATTCTCCTGAAGTGTCTCATATACTTTCTAAAAAATAATAATAACGATGATCGGCTATCCCCATTTTTATTCTTGGCCCCTCATAAATGGGAGGGCTCATTCGATTAAAACATTTTTGAAAATTTGAAGAAAAAAAAGTACAAAATCCCTGCAATTAGCTATTTCACTTGCGGCAAGTGATCATAATGCATAAAATACCAACAACCAGCCAAACAGTTTTCATTTAATTATTGGTTCGCTGCTGATAAGTGGCCAAAAGTTTTGCTAATATTAATCGTTAGTTCCGTAAAACGTGATGCATTTCATTTGGTTGAAAATTATTTTTATATGCGATTTGTGCGCACGGCACACACACACACTCACACGTTGTTAAATATCAGCGAAACAAATTAACAAGCAAAACTTGTAATGTAAATTACTGTCCGAATGGTACGAGAAAATATAAGCTTACGTAATAAATAATCTGAATAAAAGCAAACTCGTTATTCGGTCGGGAGCTATCGCACTTCAATAACTTTACGATGTATATTTTTTTGAATTGAAAAGAAGACGTAAAAAAAAGAAAAGACTAAAACTGGAAAAATCATCAACCGATAGTGCACACACAATGATGATTAACTAGTTCGAAATGAGCGAAACGTTGAATTGAATTATTAGGTGATCATTAATACTTGCAATACAAATCTGCATCCACGAGAAAAATAAAACACAACAGGCGGTAATACCGTTTGACGGCTAGAGCTGACTGCATTTGGTTGGAATGTCAGCGTACAAGCGCATTTTTCAAAAGAATTGGTTGTAATCGATGACAAGCGTGAAACCCAACTCTCTTGTTCGTTGAATTTACTTGCGCAGTCTCGATAAGATAATGTTGATGCAAAAGTCTGTGCAATCATTAAACCACCAATGATTTTCAGTTCATTTCATTCGAAAATTCCATACAATATAATCGATTGTATTCGATTTGGTACAAACGAAATTAAAAATTCCATTTTAGCGAATTTTCTCGCAAATTTTATTATTAGAACATACTTGAGAGTGAATCAAAAATATAAAATGACGACATCGTCGGGCGAAATAATTTTGTTTTTACTTGGAATTGACATGACTGTAATGTGAGCTACAAATGTGGGGCTTTGTATAAACACCTGCATCAATGTGTGGATGGATGGATTATTGTTATTAAGGCAATGCTAATTTAAATATTGTCGAATTTACTTTCCATTGATTAAGTTAACAAGACATTCATTCTTCGGGTGCTGCGTCTCGTGTACTTTGTACGCCGTAGTTTTGTTGTTGTTTTATGTCATGTTTTGCAAAATGAAAAATATTTCATCAGAGTCCATTCATGTCGATGATATTGAATTCAGATCGACATTTGATTCGTATCTCTCTCTCTCTCTCTCTCTCTCTCTCTCTCTCTTTCTCAGTCTCTTTCGATCATATTAAGCGCTAGATTAAACGTTAAAATGACATTCTTTATAAATCCCATTAGCAAGAACTTGCCAATGCTATTCGTTTCCATGCCATTTTGGTTCGCGATGGTGAATGCGAGGGCGCATTTTTTTTCACCTCTCGTGATTTGTGTTTATTTATTTATTTTTTTAAGAAAGAAGGAATAAGAAGGAGTAAGAGACAGAGAAACAGAAGCGAAACAGCAAAATAAATAACACGTTTTTGCTCATTCAGACAAAATTGTATCGATGTATTTGTGTACATAATCCGAAAGAGACGAAAATCGATAGTGAAACCAATAATATGGCCATATTTAGTCATCTGTGGGTCATAAAAATATTCTCTCTCTCAATATAGACTGTTGAAGGATAATTCCGTCACACTTGAAATAAAAATGAAAAACATCACCGCACATTTAATAGACGGTCATCAGAATTGATTTACGAGAAACATTCCAACACTGAATTTAAAAAATAAAAATCAACAACAACAGCAGCAACAGCAGCAGCACACGAAACATTTATTGTATATACTCTGACCGATACATGGACACAAACGCAAATCGGAGACACACTAAAAAAAGAATACCACTTCAAATTCAATTTGAATGAGTTTTTGAACGGAAAATGAACGGCAACCGAATGATGATAAAAACCGAAAGTGACCAGCAGTCAAATTCCATTAAGACCAAAATAAAAGGTCAAAATAAGGAAAAGACGGTAAAACAAGAGATTTTGTATGTATGTGTGCAGCCGAAGAAATGTGTATTCGAAATTAATCACAATGATCCACACTGTATTTTCGATATTTTAGTGGCAATATTATTGTGAAATATCCTTTATTTATATTAAAAAGTCATATTGCATCTATCAGAAGTGAGTAGCAGTGTGCGCTTCACATCAGTAGTTAAACTGCACCACACTATGGCAGAACGTTTGAATGCTAATGCAATGCGAAATATCAAGAAATGGCCAATTGAATGTATAAAATGTAAACAAGTTATTGCGTAACTTGGAAAGAATTCCAAAAGAAAAAGAAAACGACAACGACGACAAAAACAGAAGAAATGAATGGGAAATTGTTGTTCAAAATGACTTAAATCGTTGTGCCTTTAATAGTGTATTTTTTATGGTCAAAAATGGTAGATTTTGCCCCGCAAAAACAAGCAATATGCTCACCACAACATTGCTAAAATGTTTATGTATATATTTGATGCAATGCGTTCATTTCATGAAAAATACGAAGTATGACATCATTTGATTGGAATGAATTTATATATATAGTTGCCTACAAAGAAACCATCGACGGCGGGGCTTTACGACAGCACTCACAACAATAACAAAATTGTGCTATTATGATTTTTTTTCTTCATCTTCGTTTTCGGTTCGTCTCTTCGCTCAACATTGAAGTATATACACACACTGAGCTTCAGACGGATAGCATGATGAATACCCGAGCACCGAGATGCGTGCTTGAATATATTTTACACAAAGTGTACAAAATGTGCAAGACAATGATCGTATGTAGATTGCTTTTTAAAGCATGTTTTGCGTGAGTACGCGCAAGAGCAAATCGCTGCCAAATGAATGAGTGTGCGCGTTCACGTTCACTCATTGTGCACGATCATTTGTTTGTTTGTACCTTTTCGTTAACCCGCTTTTTACCATCCGTTTTTCATATGTCGAAGAGAAATAAAAAAAAATATTTTAAATTCAATCTGCGTGTGTTACAACGATGACTATTTTCTTTCGTCGTTCGTTTTTCAATTTCGTTCATGTTGTGATTTGTTTTTTTTTTTTTTTTGTTAAATCCAAACTATGATTATAATCATGTCATAGCTTTATGTGTTGGAAACTAATTTTTTTTTCAAAGCTGTATCGTTGTGAGCAGCGCATGATGCAGACTGAATCTTCATTAAAGCATTTCAATTTGTCATTCAAGATGGCCCATTCATACAAACACACGAAATTGCACTGAAACGTACGAAAAAAGAGTCGTCGTTTTTTTAACTATAAAACATCGACCAGACAGAGAGTCAGTCACGTCATTTTAAAGGTTGCAAGTCATTTGAACGAAACAAA